GTCCTCGGCACCCCTCGGCACCCCTCGGCACCCCTCGGCACCCCTCGGCACCCCTCGGCACCCCTCGGCACCCCTCGGCAGCAGGCGGTGCGGGCGGGTCTGGTCTGCGCTCGGGTGGAGCCCGCAGCCTGCTGTCCTGGGAACAGGGCGTCTTCGGGCAAACCTGGAGCTCCTGGCGGCCCCCGAGCGCCCGTGCGTTGCCCTAACTCCCACCCTGTGCCTGGGAAGCCTGGGGGGCGGGTGCCTTCCCTCCCGCTGCAGGTTTGCGCTCAGCTTCCTGGGCCAGTAGCCCGGGGCGCCGGTGGCCCGCGGGTGCCCGGCTGGGCGGCACCCGGAAGCTGCCCCTGGGCCTCTCTGAGCCACACAGCCTGTGCCAGGCAGGTCCTGGCCATCTGACCCCCTTTCTCCCATTTAAGGTGAAGGAAAAGAGGGGCTGGACCCTGAACAGCGCTGGCTACCTTCTTGGTCCACGTAAGTGACACGCGTCCAGGGTCTCTCGAGACCCTGACCTGCTGGGCCGACTGCGGCCATCTGCGTGGGTCCTGCTCTGTCTGAGACGTGCGCGGCCGGTCGTCATCCTGACACGTAGCTGGTCCATTGTCGGTCAGATAAAGGGAAGTGGGGGTTTCCTGAGATTTTAAGGATGGGCTTCCATGTGGGTTAACATTTGCCATGCGTCCAGGTGGCACCTGCGCCACTCCCTGAACTCAGCTCCCCCCCCCAGGCACCTGGCTGGGTCTGGAACCCCGGCCCCTCCTGCACCCTGGCACCCTGTCTCCTGCCCTCTGGCACCCTGTCTCCTGCCCTCTCCACTGGATTTCCCCTTTTTGCCCCATGCGTCAGGGCTGCCACCTCCACCCAGTTTAAACGGCCTCCGGGGCCATCTTAGTTCTTAATCCCAGAGTTTAAATACACACTTTCTCCTACTCGGATGGTTATTTATCCACCTGGAGGGTCCCTGAGAGCCCGGCACAGACGGCAAACACCAGATGGGCCACAGGCGGGATCGACGGGGTGCATTTGGCCTCAGGTCCCACGTGGTCTTTTCAGTGGTTCAAGGGGTACATGTTTTCCTGAACCCCAAGTTCTCTCCCTCAGAAAGCACATCATCTCTGGGTGCTACTGGCCCCAAAGACAGGAGGAGCCTTTCAACAAATGTGTGTTTGTGTCACTGGAATGCTGACAACCTAGGAGACCTTGCGTCCTGAGCTAGGACACACTCTTTCCCGCTGTCCTGGGAGCTGTCACCTAGGTGGTTGTTAGAAGTCTTTTCAACTTAGTGCTTGCCCTTGATTTCTACATCCGCGTAGAAACAGCGCCCAGAGGGACGCGTTGGCAGCAGACGCCCGACCGCATGTCGGAAGGATCAGCTCCCTTCCCCTTCCCCTGAATCTAGTGCCAGGAGCTCTGTCTGGGAAAATGACTTAACTTTCTTTTGTCTGGTCCTGGAGATGACACAACCCGCCAGGCCATGGAGCCAGACACCCTGAGCCCCCCCCCGTATCTCCTCAGTTGCCCAAACCCGTCCCTTCCTCACTCCAGGCCACTTGGTTAGATCCCTTGTTTTTCTTCCAGTAGTTTCTTTCTTTTTCTTTTTTTTAAATATATCTTTATTGATTTCAGAGAGAGGAAAGGAGAGGGAGAGAGAGATAGAAACATCA